TCGCTGAACCGACAAGGGTAGGCAAAACGCCTTAAAACCACGCACAATCCTTCAACAGTAGCCACTGTTCCATTAGGGCAAGTAAAGTGTTCAGGAATCCTCAACGCTTCTGCATGCTAACGCTTTCAATTCCGATAGAATTACCCTGAACTCTGCAAGGCATTCATCGTCGTTCATATTCTGCAGTTGAACATCGATATGCTCATATTGCCAGTATGGAAATTCCTGTGACTTGCGCCTTGTTAGTTCATAAATAACAAGGAGTTCCTCTTCGCTAATGCATTCTTGAATGAATAGCAATCCAGCTGCTTCAAAAATGGACTGATTGCAATACATTTTGGCAAAATGTAACGCAATACAATCATGTACAAGTACAATTGTCAAGACAAATCGACTATCACGAGAAGTCGAGTTGTCGTGACAGTTAATTGTACTCGTAGTTGTTGTCATCTAAATTAAACAACAAACCGTTTTACTACGGCTACGACAACGTGATTCTAGACCCAGACCTCTTACGGTCAGATCTCGTAGCGGTAGTCGTACTCGTAGTCAAATCTAAAGCTCCCTATCAATGGCGTCAGCGGGTCAATATGGTTCTCGGTCGTCATAGTAATATGGCGCAAACGCGTCCAAATTTTTTTCATATTGACTCTTTGACGTCATTTTGCTAATATGAATGTGAAAAATCCATATTTGGTTAGCCCTTGAATTGAGTTGATATGACAATTTCACAGTTGGCTGTTAGCCAATCAGAAAGCAGGAATTTTTTAAATAAATAATAATATTTATATCTGTTTTCCATGAACACCGTGTCTATCGCATATGATGTTTCAAGAATTGTCGAAATTCAGTAAGAGATTCCGCTTGTCTTATATTGCTAGGTAAGCTGTTCCATAACACTGCACCACTATAGCTAAAGCTATTTTTAAGATAATTGGTGCGGGTAAAGGAGCAGCAAGTTTGTTCACCGTAAACAAACGTAAAAAAATTTGCACGCTTCAAGCTTGAACGCAAATGGCAATATTTCATTTTCAAAAGCTTTTTGGAAAAAAAGGCAAAATAATCGCCTAAAAGAAGGGAGCAAAGGCGCCGACGTTAACGAAGATAAGTTTGTTTTAAATATTGATTTATTATTTGCTTTATAATTGCTTTAATTTTAAAAGCCGATCGTGGCGTATAATGAAACAAGACAGCATATAGTTTCAGTTTATCTTTATTGATTTAATACCCCGTTTTTAATATATTAATTTTTTTAACTAAAAAAAGAAAGCAAAGTTATTTGCATGCGAGAATTTGAAATCATTTTATTTCAAACTCAAAGTTTATCGATAAAGTAAAGGCAGTTTAGTTTTGCAAATAACACTTTAAACGTTTTGCGAAGCGTTTGTGGTTGAATTTTACCTTAAATTGAAGCTTATATGACGTATAATAACATACCTAACATATATATGTTTGGGAAATTGATAATTTTGTAATTAAAAGTGATATTTTTAGGGGATGTTTCGTTTGTAAAAATATTCTTAAAAAATTATCGTGTTACCATGACAAGTACTTCAAATACTTCATGTTCGGAAAATACAATGGTTTTGTCAACAAGGCGAGGGTTTGTGCATGGATTGTAAAATAACTGGATGGGAAACTTCGTGACGTCACAGTCTAACTTAGTTGCAAATTGGCTTTCAAAACACAAATTAAAATCTAAACAAATATCAATTTAAAACTAAGCTTAATGTTTGTAAATATGACTAAGCCACAATAAAAGGATAAATCTACTTGTTGAAGTATGCCATGGGTAAAAATATACAGATTAAATACAGACTCTGAACATGCGTCGCCGTTTTCGCAAAATACGAAACTTAGAAATAAGCTGCTATTGGCGCAATTATCTCTGTTGTAAACTGACAAATATGTAAAAAATAAAGATGAACACTTGCCTTAAGAGTTGTTGTGTGGCTTAGTCTTGGCCATAGATCAGTATAAAATACCAGAAGACAAGACAAACACATTGTCAAGCAAAAAGCATGAAAAGGTAAAAAAATCTCAGTCAAAAGCATAGGAAAATCAACAATACTTCGCCATCATTCGCCATTGTTGACATCACGATTTGCAACTACGTTTCAACATCTCTCGAGCTAAAACAAAGACTTTTCAGCCAATCAGCGGGATGAAAACATGTCATGTGACTACAGTTTCCTATCCAGTTATTTTACAATCCATGGTTTGTGCATGCATGCATTTTCTAGTTATGCAACTAATTATGTGTTGTGTGAGTGTGTGGGATGGTTGCTATTGTAATTTAATATTTGATCTGTACACTGTATGTGTGTCCTTGCAATATGCTTAGTTGTGTGTTTATAGTGCCACTGTCAATTTTTGTTTTTTAGCACGTTTAGAAATGCGTGTTTGTTGTCGTGTTCTTCCTCTTTAGTAAACTTGATGTTTTTAGTGGTGTTGTTGATTGTTCATAAGATGTCGTCTGTTTTGTCTTTTTTCAGTAGCGAATACATCGTTTATATATCTGTTCCATGTTTTGATGTCATCATTGTTTGTGGCAGCCGTTTACTTTCGAGGTCTTGCATCACTGCTTCAACAAGGAAACTCTAAGCACCAGCTAATCTGCTCCGACCATTCAACATTGACGTTGCACACAAACCAACATGCAAACTGAATTAATTAACACAGATAATTAGTTTTTTAATTTTTATTTCACAAATAAAGAGAAAAAATCTTTTCATAGGCACTATAATGACACTTTTCCATACACTATAATGAATATATTTTGCCGCAGGTCCTGTTTCGGCTGCCCTGACGATATGTGAAAAAATGTCAAAGGCTGTTTTCCACAACAGTTTAAAGTGCTTAGAGTACATCTTGGAAATTTACGATCAACTACCTGATTCATCTCGATCAAAAATAATATGGATCGATGGGAACTCTCCACTTTTTACATTTACAAAAAAATGTTGCTGGGCAGCTATGAGAATAGTTGAGAAACATCCAAGCTTCATAAAAGACGTCGTGGATGAGCCTGGGAGTGATGGGTCTACGCCCTTACTTGTTGCAGTCAAAAGAAACCACATAGAAGTAGTGAAATGGTTGATGAACAACTCTGGAATGAAACTGCAGATTGAGAGAAGAAACCGCAAAGGAGAGACAGCAATCTATCTCGCAGCTCTGAACGGCCAAGCTGATGTAATAAAAGAAATGTTGGAGAGATGTACGTAAGACCAACAATCATGTAACACATGACGACCATGAGCTGAGCATAAGCCTTCATAGTAAATGCTACTCACTCAACAAAACTATACTTAACTGATAAAAAGTTTTGATAATGAGAAATATTGCAAAACATTCCCAAAGAAGGATTCCCTACGACCCCTGGCGCGATGATAAACCTTCCCCCTTTCCCAATATTTTGTGAAGTGTCCATCACTTAATTTAATTAACATGCATGTTAATTATTGAGCTGGCATCCTGTAAAAAACTTACGAACACGCAGCTTTATCAGCTTAACAAACATGCAAATTTGTTTTCCCATGAGAACAGACATTAAGTGTTTTGTAATATAGCTGACTTTACGAAAATTTCACATATGATTTTGGATGTGAAAATTATCTTTTGCCCACGGAGCGATGATGAAGGTTGGGGGGGGGGGGGACTGCTTTTCAGATGATGTAAGTTCGCGGCGCTCCTATATAGGGTTTGGGGTCATGCCTCCCAGAAACGTTTCGGATAATTACAAGCTTGAAAAATGCATTTCCAGCTACTTCCCAAACATACAGTAGGCAAATAAATTTTTGAAAACACGTGTCCAAGGTAGGCCTAATTGAAATTAGTAGAGAATTATAGTATCACCTCATGCACGCATGAGTGGAAAAAGAACAATTACGGGTCAAGTCGGTATGTTATAAGAAACGGTATAAAGTTAAACGTTACTCTGCTCTGAAATAATGTACCATATCATTTAGATGCATCTTCAAAAGAACACCGAGAAAGTTTACTTACCAATGAAGACCTGTACGGAGAAGGTCATTCAATACTTTATCCAGCGTCGCAGAGTGGTAACCCCAATATTCTTGATGTTCTGATGGAAGAAGAGCAGGCATCCTTATGTCTACAAAAAGAATTGCAACACTTTGACTCAGTCAAGTTTTTGGGCAACGTCTGTGTGTCAGGATGTGAGAAACTCTTGAATGTCATACTGGAGTTAGAAAATGATTTATTAATCGGAGATTGGAAGGATGAAAATGGAGCAACACCTTTAATGCGGTAGTAGGTTTACAAACGTAGTTGAGGTGAAATTTAAATTGAGCTAAGCTGAACTCAACTCATCTCAACTGGACTGGAGTAAAATAAACTAAACTAAACCGCACCACACCACACCACACCACATGCCACACCACACACCACACTACACTATAAGTGAAGAAGCTAGTAAAACTAGGTTAAAGTAGTTAGCAAAACACTCGGCTAAAGCTTCGTTTTTGACACGAATCTCTCGTGTTCTCTTAACTTTACCGTCGCGTGCTTCGATGGTCCGATAACTTGATATAGGAACAGTACACCTTTGGTATTTTTTAAGTAGGTATATTATGTAAAATTACCCTTAAGCTTGAACAATCTGTTTTGATACTTTGTAGGGTAGCTGAAGCTGGTAAATTGGAAACTGTTAAAATTATATTGGGAACTGAAAGTGGCAATACCACAATCTCGATGTGTGACAACAATGGGAAAAATGTCTTTCACTATGCTGTGAAGTACCCAGCAGTCGTCGAACATCTTATAATGGTAGGTCATCAACATGTATGTACATGCATTAGTTAATTCGGGCAAACGGTAGTTTCTTTATGGGACGTCGACACCAACGATTTTTTTCTAGGTTGATCCCACACAAGAGTCGAGTTAGGACAAGAATAATAAACCGGTTCGGAGGTTGAAATTTAATGAGATTCGGGATAAAATCTAGTTCATCAATTGAGCATATAACGAGACTGCTACGTTTTCGGTTTTGAATTATTGATTTTTGGAAGGAAGAAGGAAGATTGTCATTAAGGAAGCATTATCAGGAACAAAGCATTATCTGCAGGCTATCCTAATTGATGGTCTAAATAGGTAGTTTCGATAATTCCATCTCAGCTTCATGTGATGAATGAACTGGAACATTTGAGTGGGAGTGACTTTCCGCTGCCTGAGGCATGACAGGATTTGGCTCTCGGTAACGTTTTCAGCAATCCTAGTTGAAAAGTATCACTTTATTTCGATACGTTTTCTTTTTACGTCGGTGAATCCTTGAACGGGTTCTGTGGACGGTTCATTTTGCGCATAGACAATTTACTGCATGGTAATTCTCTTGATTTCGCATTTGGATTTGCTATTACCATGAAGCGGAGGGCTTATTTGTCTGCTTACTTTGGCTTCCTTACGCCTGGACCTTGTTTGTCTTGACTGCTTTGGCATATGATTTTGGTAGTTGATGTTGTTGTTGTTGTTGTTGTTGTCCGAACGAACTTGACGACGTGAGAGTCGCAGGTACTGCATTTGACGAAATGCACATAAGTATCATCAATGTTATCAAATAGATACTATAATTAGACAGATAAAAGGTTTATTTAAATAGGATATCCAGTCAGTATAAAATTCTACTGGAATCAAGAAGCGCCGTGTGAAATAAATTTAACAATACACAAATTACAATTTATAAAACTTGAAAACTACTGTACGTACAAAAACTAGTAAATGTAAACATCAACAACATTAAAATTATATATAAATACAATGATTTATAAACAACATATTATATACGGAGGTGAAGAAGATTACTCTGTCTAGTTTTTCCTGAAGTGATACCATGATTAAATGTAAAATAATTCATTAAAAATTGCGATACATTGTTCATAAGAGATTTCGTAACTAATTTAAAAGCATAAAATCGTCGCCGCTTGGAAAGAGTGCCCATCCCACCGGCAGAACAGCATCCAGGCCCGGAGCTACGGAGGGAGGGGGGTGTGACCCCCCCCAGAAATTGTATTCAGTCGGCAGGACTGCTATTCAGTCGGTAGGACTGCTATTCAGTCGGTAGGACTGCTATTTGGGTTAAATATTTTCGCGCAAAGGGCTTATAAGATAGTGGTCGCATATTTAGAAAAATTTTTTTGATAAATGGAGAAAATTTGTGATGTCTGGAAAATTTGTTTGATTTTCCGAAAAATATTGGTACGTCCGGAAAAATTTTTGGACCCCTAAAATGGTACACTGACCGAAATTTTTTTGGCGACAGGGGGGGGAGATCGCCAAAAATAATTTGTTCCAGAAAAAAAATTTTCGGCACTGGTCGGTTGAAATGACCTTACACCCCCCTGAAGAATTCCCTGAGGACGGCCCTGACAGCATCACAACACTGGAATTCAAAATATGTCTTTGCAGCACGATTTGCAAGCGTTCCAACCTATCTGCATCATCTCAGCTTATTGCAGCATGTCTATATACTGTGTCGCAGTATCATCTTATAAGATGAAACAGTAGTTAGACGCTAATTGTTTCTTCTCTTATGTTGATTTTCAGTTGAACAAAAATAGAGATACAATCAACAAAAAGGCTAAGGATGGTAGTACTCCATTACAACTTGCTGCCGAAGGAGGATTTATTGAGGTACCTTTTACAAGGCACATATAAATATCTTGAAATAATAGTGTGCTGTTTAATCATGCAATACCTCGAACACAAGGGAAGATACAGATTGTGACTTGCTTTTGCAGTCGTGTATATAACGATCTCCTGCGACCACCCCAAACTATATTCACGTTTTCTCCGCCCACTTTTCATGTTTCAAATTTTCGACAGGTTTCTTCTGCTTGGAGTTTTCGATGGCGTTGTATTCTATAAGCATGTTTATAGTCGAAATTACAGTATAGAATGCGGGGAGTGTGATTTACCGAATATATATATATATATATATATATATATATATATATATATATATATATATATATGCCTATGCTATATATATATATTCAGTGAAATCCACTCCCCACATTCTGTAATCACTGATTAATTAACTATCTACCTGTCTAACTATCTAACCGACTGGCTGGCTGACTGACTGGTTTGACTAGCCGAGTAGCTGAGAAACTAACATCACTTTAACTTAGATTTCACTGACTATGGTGGGGTTGATCAACCAGATATAAAGAAGTTAAAAAATAAGGTTACTGATAAGAAAGAACGAAAATTATTTATAAATTAAATTACAACAAAAATATCACTAAATTCAAGAGCATGCATCAGTCAAACCTTGTTTTAAGCACTGCGATCTGAAACGACTTAACGGGATAGTTTGTTCTTAGGCGATCAGACAGGTTGGCTTAGAAAATTATAATGAATAGTTTAGGGTGGTCGCAGAACACGTTTTGTTAACGGTGTTCATGATCATTCATGGCTAGATGCAGTTGACGGTATCACATGCGTAAATCGTATGTTTTGCGTTGTTTTTTTTTTATATCTTCTAGAGCTTTAAAATGTTGTTAGGATACATCACAGGTGAAAAGGATCTATTTTATCCTCCTTTTGTCGGCTATACGACCATCGAAGTACTAGAATTAGCTCTTGACGATTGGAAATTACGTGATGAATTAGCAGCATCAGCTTTTCTTCGCGGAAGTTACAAGTACCCACCTCTCCATAGAGCTGCTAGAGTAGGAAATATTGAGATGATGCAACTTTTACTTGATAAAGGTGCTGACGGCAAACAAAGAGATAGGTAACTATACTTTAAGATATGACTTTTGAAGATCCTTCGTTTTTCCAGGCTTCTTATTTTCATTTTTGAATTTTCGTGTTGTTTACCAAGCAAATGCAATGGACTTTCTGTCTTATTCGCCTCAAGAAAAAATTACGCCAGTAGGCAATAAAGAGAAATGAATTTATCATTTTAAAACTACTGTAATGTATAATGTAATAATGATACTATTTTAGCATGAGAAAGAAAATATGAAGCATTGCCATTGCCTTCAAACGTGAAGGTCCAGACACACCGGACGCGATTCGACAACGCGACGCGATTTTTTAGTTTCTGAAAGTTAATAAAACAGCCAATGAGAGCACATTTTGAAGATATGTTGATCAAATAACTCAAAAGGTTATAACGCTTCTAAATATTTGGAAAATATAAACTAAGATCAAAGTTATCGGTCAGTGAAAATTAATAAATCGCGTCGGGTTGTCGAATCGCGTCCGGTGTGTCTGCATGGACTTTTAAGTTTAAACTGACTATTATCAGAAGTCATTCACAGCTTTAAAACACTCGTTAAATAATTGGTGAATATACCTAACAACAGTAGATTTATCATATATATAGAGCGTTTTGCACTCATTCCCCAGGGACCAACTCAACAAAAGTCATGGCGGCCATGTTGGTGTCAACCAGTATCTTATTTGAATATAGGCTACTAGATGGAACAGCGCTTCATAGTGCTGGCAACCGTCCTGCTGCAGAATTTCTGATCAAGAAATTTCCAGAGATGATTGATTACACGGATAATGATATGGTTACAGCGAGTGGACGAGCATTTGTGGAAAACAAAGTACAAATCCTGAAATTTCTTTTGAAGAATGGAGCCCAAATGACAAGCGGAAAGAACAGGAGAAATATATTTGATTGCGATTATTACGAGGAAGCCAATGAGGCTACGATCATGATAATAATCAATTTCTGCTTGGAGGACAACGGACCAAATCTTCGAAAGGTATATATATATCGTTTAATATATAGATCGAGTTTAATAATAACCTATTTAATAATAATAATAATAATAATGATAATAATAATAATAATAATAATGTAAATTATGTAAAGTTTCACATAGATAGAGCTGTTGAGTCTCCACTCTGTAGACTTTGTGGGGAAAAGGGAGAGCATATAACACACTTGATAAGTGAATGCAAGAAGCTAGCACAAAAAGAGTACAAACGAAGACATGACAATGTGGCTCGCATTGGACACTGGAAGCTATGTGGTTTGTACCAACTAGAGAAAGCTGAAAAATGGTATGAACACCAACCAAATGGAGTAATTGAATCAGATAATGTAAAGATTCTCTGGGATTTTAACATACAGTGCGATCATGTGATTGAATGTCGAAGACCTGATATTGTAGTGGTTTTAAAGAAGGAAAAGGAATGCAAGATCATAGACATCGCAGTTCCAGGGGACTGTAGAATTGGTATAAAAGAAACAGAGAAGGTAGAAAAGTATGAGGAGTTGAAGAGGGAAATTCGGAAAATATGGGCAATGAAAAAAGTAGAAGTCATTCCAATAGTAGTAGGTGCCTTAGGAGCAGTTAGTAATAATTAAAACTGGATAAGTGGATTGAGAAATTGGGAATACATATAAGAATAGAACTTCTACAAAAAACAGCATTGTAATAATAATAATAGAAAAATACAGTGGACTTATGTTAAAAAGCTCCATTGCCCGAGACATAAACGATGATATGATTTATGTCTTTCAGTTCTAGATATAATGTTACCTAACACAATTTTCGTTAATTCTAGTAGAATAGTCATGTTTATGTGCGACAAGGACGTGGTGACAGGGATAGTTTCTGTCACGAATAATTGCCTCTATTTCTCGAAGAGTTAGTTTCTTTTTTCGCTAAGCGAAGGAAGTGCCGGCGTCGCCCGGCAAACCAATAATGCGTAAATGTCTCCTTTGGATACGTTCAAGGTCGTTCGCTAAGTAGAGAGGCGGGCCATCCACGACTGGTGCAGCATATTCAACAGGCCTAGGAGTCGAATTTTGGTGCAGTAAGTTGCAAGACCGACTTCCGTAGGAAGGTGGGCCTTCCACACTGATCTAATATCACTATATCGGTGGCCTTCCTATAGTTCCTACACTGCATTAGATGGTGTGATCTCCTATTTCTATCACGGGTAATTTCTTTAATGCGAGAATTCCATTTCATGTTACTTTGACAACCAACACCAAGTATTACTAACTGCAATGTATTTACTCTTTCGATCATATTACGCATGCGTAGCGCTCTTCCCCAGGCTCCCTCGAACTGACCTCAGGTTCTTGGCAACGTTCATGGAGCTATACATTGTCAGTCAAGAACATCTCGGATTTTCATGTTTGCATTCTAACGCCATCCAATTGGTTCCTCCTGCCATGGTAATTATCGCAGAGCAACCGTGATCCAACGCTTTAAATAAAGTCCTACCAATTCATTATAGAGGTTCAGATTTGACAGCCGCTACCGATATCATTAAGGGACCATCAACAATCAGATGCGTTTGATATATTCAATTAACCAATAGATGCGTACTAAGCCAGTTAGGAGAAACTGGGGAAGGAGCGCCACCTCTTGATGATTTCAGATTATCACAAAACGTGTCTAAAGTGCATGAAATAGCATTTCGCAGACCCTAAAAATAAAAATATTTCGGGGAACGCTAGCACTAGCCGGGCGATTAGACCCCCTCCTCCGCCACTCGTTTGGGACTGGTTATCCCCCTAGTTGGAAGTGGAAGTGACATTATCTACCAGTTTGTTTTTGACTAGATGTCTGACTAGCATGCGCTGTCAAGATTCTGGCTAGTTCTCATCTATAGTAGTAGGTACAGTTTTCGATCCAGATTTTTGAGCTGGCGTATGATCGAGATGGCGGATTATCAATGGCACAAAAGGAGGTGGTGTGTTTGTGTGAGGTGGAAGGAAGTGAAGTGAGGCAGAGGACTCATTATGAATGTGTGACGTCATACATAATACACCCGTTACAAGACTGAGCATGTTTGGACGAAACAAACATTAAGCTTAGCCATCACAATGGCAATCTCGCATTGCTAGAAAAACATTTAACCTTTTAGACTATTTATACAGTAAAGGCAAGATAGAATAATTTTATATACGAGGAATTATATACGGAAGATAGTGTAATAGAAGTAAAAAAAACATATAGGACAATGTTTTAAAGCGGTAGTCAAGTCCGTTTGCGCATGTATAGAAATTGCCAAACTGGTTCTGGTGCTTCGTCTACCATCCCTTCTCAGGCCAGGAATCGGGACTGTATAAAAACGCTTTATTTATTCTTACGGTAGTAAAAACTATATAAATCTCGTCCTCGTCGCCAAAATTGTCATTTGATTAAATCAGCTTACAGTAATAACGCAACAAGGAGCCATCTATGATCAAGCACATGTCCTGCGCAGGCACAAGCAGTAACCATAGTGAACACATAACAATTATTTTCTACCGAGGATTGTTCCGAGATATTGAGGCATAAAAACAGCAAGCGAATTTCAGCGAGATTGTGCTTGGGCGTGCAATGCATCACCCTGAGACTCATTTTAAAGTACTATCTAACATTATCATGCATTTACCATGATAAATGGTCTAAATACGTTCTTCAAAGTAATATTAAAAGGTTTTTCCTTCAAAGTAATATTTAGTTTTGTCATCACGACAAAAACGTTATTTAATTGGGTGACTTTATGTTTATGTTTCAGCTGATGGACGATTCTTGTCGTTTCAATAACGACAGTTCCCAAATGATGTCATGGCTCATAAAGAACTGCCTTGGTGCTGCCGTAAAGATTTTAGACCAATGTATTTACAAAAAAAGGAAAAGAGTTTACAATCCAAATTTAGGAATCTTCTCTAATAATTGGGTAATCAATTATTATTTCTTCCCGCTCCAGCCAGTCAAGAGTAAGCACAATTACATATTTTTAGTTTTATACCGTAAACTTATATTGCAACCATAATCATCTCGCATAAAACTCAGAGTAATAGCAACCATAAGTTAAAGTTTAACTATTGGCTTTTATGCGCGGCTGACTGTCGAGAACTTGCGCAGACAAAACTGAAATTTCTGATTACTTCATATTTGGTAAACTATATTTACAAAACTTATGAAGTAAACACATTGTGTATTTGCTAAAAAATTGCAATAGTCATGTATTGCACAGTGACGTAGCCAGGATTTCTAGTCGAGGGGGGGGGGGGCGAAAAATTCCCTGGGAGGGCCGAAGCAATTCTACTCTGCGCTAGTTCGAATAAATTTGTTTATTATGTGAAAATGTATTTAGATTCCCACGCTATCCATACATATAATTGAATTCTAGAGGAGGTAAAGTGCCATTTTCAGCATTTTGGGGCCTATTTTAATGCGTTTTGATGATTTTAAATAACCATTTAACACAACAACTCTACTTAATCACAAATGAATCCAGAACATTTGAAACATAGGAAGATATAACATTTCCATTACAAGAAATGAAAATATAATGTACATGTTTGTATAAGGAGAGACCCCACATTTTTCTGGGCACCCCCTACGTCACTGGTGTTATACAGTGACGTACACTGGTATTGTATCATGATAAAGGGGGTGATGCTCGGAACGTTAACAGTTGTTCTGATTGAATTATTAAAGCATTAAGGAGGAAGGAAACTTTATGAACTTATATGCATATAATTATTCGCCGAAGGCGAGGTGATTATCGGTGAATAAAAACCGAGACGAAGTCGAGGTTTTTATTCACGATAATCACCGAGCCTGAGGTATAATTTCATAGGTGATTATTTGGGAAAAAATAAGAAAATACACATTTCTTTGTCATTTAATTGACAAAAAGGCTTCGGCCGCCATTTTGAAAATCGCTTAGGTGATTATCGCGTAATAATCACCTCAACGGCAACCAATCAGCGTGGAGAATTTTCAATAATCACCTATGTAATTATACTAAATGCAAATATACCCTAAATGCAATCTGACTTTCCTTTTCAGATACTGCAGGAAAGCTTGAGACTATTGAAAGTATGGTTCAGTATAAGCGGGATGAGTGCTTGGCTCATCCTGTTGTCATCAAGTTCTTGAACCAAAAATTGAATTCTCGCAACGTACGATTATGGTTTGTTTGTAACGTTTGGCTGTACACGATATTTCTCATCTCCCTGACTGCATATACTGCAATCCAAACCAAAGGTGAGAGAAATTATTACACTGACCTGAAAGGTCAAGTGTCTTAAATCCCTAATTTTCTGGGGTTTTCGTGTTTTCTTCGTCGTCGAGAAATCGAGTTTGCTGTTAGCGCATCGCAGGCTCAGTTTCCAGTGTTCAAGTCGTTCCAATTTACTATACAGATCAGTTTTCAAGATGGCGGCCATTCAATGAGTGACTATTTCAGTCTCAAATATTTTCTTTATTTGTCAACGAATTGACCGCGTTTTTCTGTGGAAGTTGACTTGTTTTCTTTCGTGCAACGTTTCTAGATCTGGAAATAAAATATCTGGATCGCCGAGTTTTTCGAATTTTATACGTTACGATCGGACTTACCGAGTTACGGAATGTAAACAATGTTGTCTGCGTTAGCGCATCGCATGCTCAGAGACCATGTGCATTTATGGATAACGTTTGTATTTGTGATTATAATACTTGTGTTTCATTGAGCATTACGAAAACATCTCCTCAGGATAACTTAGGATAATTCTGCGTATCCACCCACTCATGTATCAATCACGCCACGCTTTCAGCCTTTCACGCTTTGCGTTTGCGGTTCACTCGATTTGTATTCCTTGGCTATTACATTATAACACGAATGACGTCATTTTCAGGTCAGCGTGAACGCCTGAGCAGGCGTCTTGTTTTAATACAATAGTACCTCGTTAATTATTTTGAAAGAATAGTTCCTTCATGAAATAACCTGCCTTCAGTCATCAAATCTTCTTCCTTTGTGTTTTCCTTCAGGACAAAATTCTATCAATATTATTGTTGTATAAAACGTAACTTTGACTTTGTCTTTGATGCAGAAAGGTCACGAACCTAAAAACATTTTGTGTCAAAAATTAGCGTCGTAATATCAACTGAATCCCTGGGTAATAGATAGAGAATACTATATCGCTACTGGGAAGTGGCTAATAGATAGAGAGAAAACTGGATAAAAGACATAGAGAAAACTGCTCGTAGATAAACCGTTCTCAAAAGACCAAAATAAAAAAAGATTTACAATTTATGATCGCAGTAATAGTTTTAACAAAGCTTGTTTCGTTTGTTACAGTCAAAACGGAAATACCTGCACACTTCCGCTTGTGTAGTTTGTTGTGTAATACTGTACTTCTGTAGCTGCTGAAAAAATGTTTGTTCAAAAATCGTGCATTAAGATATAACTAATAACTGTTGTGGAATTTATTGATTAGTCAACGCATATTCCATCCAAAATAATGCTAACAAACATTCAAATATAAGTCAAGAATAAGCGGCTTCTTGTCGGTAAATTTTTACAGAAATACAGTGTTACACAACAAACTACAATAACTGAAGTGTGCAGGTATTTCCGTTTTGACTGTAAAGATAAACGAACTATGGATAGACTAGCCTACGTCATAGACTCAAACTCGTTCTGACTTACATTCACACTGTGTATTGAAAAATTTCTACCATAACAATCAAGATGAATAGTTTTGGATTTTTTTCAGGAATGGTTTTATCTCTTCTCTTTTTTATTTTTACAGCCATTTCGTCGATGAAAAGTAAAAAAACATTTACCCAGAGCATGCTAAAAATATTGCTAAAAACGACTGCCGGCATGCAATAATGTAAACAATGTCAAATTGAGCGGGCTAGAATTAGCTCGCTAATATATTCATTTTATAGCCCACAACACCCACTAAAGTTACTAATAATCGCTAATGTATAAAGAATCATGCTGATAAATGGAGAATACTGGCTAGTATATAGAAAAAACCTAGCTAATAGAGAGAAGCAAGTAATGGCAAAACGTTCTAGTAGTTGTGGCAGCGAAACCTTTAGATAGCTTCTTCTTTTAAAAATGCGCCGCTGACGCGAATACATCGGACAAGCAAAGTTAACAAACACAAAAACAATATTGACCCCAACAACCTCATTCCCAGAGTTTCATCGCTGGCAGCGGCGAAACCCTGGAAACAAGGTTCTAATGCCAACGAAAACGTTTATTATTGCTTCGTTTTCAGGCTTCTACAGTTCAAGATCACCAGCATTGTCCACTGTAACTCTCATTTTTTGCATACTTAACATGCTTAAAGAAATTTTCCAGGTTTGTAGCAGTGAATTGCATGGTCACTACATTTCTAAGCAGCATGGATGGCGATCGAGTGCTGTTAGCGCGCAACCTCTCATTGCTGAGTTAATAAATTAAGCTCGGTCCGACGGAATTAGCACTTGGATGAGTGACTGTATCCTAAGTGCAGTTGTTGGTTTTCTCCCTTGCTCCAAGGACTATATAATTATGTGGCACTCTATTTTGACATCGATTTTTTCTCGTTTAGGCAAAATTTGATTGGAATGGCTATTTTCGTTCCATCGACAATTATTTCGAATGGGTGACGTACATTTCTGCTATCGCTTACGTCGTACAGCCAGCAGTCGAAAGAAGCGATTTTCAGGTAGCTTCTGGATCCCTTGCAGTATTTTTTGGCTGGATAAATTTTATTTGGTTTCTAAAGAGGTTCTCGCTATTTGGAATCTACGTCCTTATGGCAAAGAAAGTTTTGATCTCTGGCTTGAAAGTAAGTTCCATTAATTAAATTCTTCAAAACTCTATTATAAATGAACGGAGAAATGAACAAAAGTGAAACATTAAGAGAACGTTTGGCGGTTATAAAGATTGGTCTTCGTTCTCGAGATAGGTTTTTATATCTACACATCATACAATACAAGCATTTCATTTTACAAGCATTCATGCTCAGGAAGTACGTACATGACGCAATTGGTAAATTAAATGCATGTATAACTCATTAGGACCGGATAAGATTCCGACCGAACTTCTGAAAGATTCAAACGATGTGGTCTGACTCCCCTTTCTTAACATTAATATTTAATTCCTCGATTGGAAGAGGAATGTTTCCGAATGGTCTTAAAACAGCGAGAAATGCACCAATTTATAAATCTGAAAACAGAAACGCGTGGGGCAATTATCGGCCAATTTCTTAGACCGCGAGCAGTCCCTCGTGGGAAAGGAGGGCGCCCAGAAAGCTCAACCTTTGGAAAGGAGGGACCGCTTGCAGTTTACCTATTCTGTGCTTTCAATAATTGCTAATTAAACTCTTTGAGACATTTGTCTATGAACAATTAACTCAATACATTTTTAACCGATAATAAGATTTCGAGTCCATGCCAGTCCCGCTCTTTTATGGAATACTGATTCGTGGTCACTGAATATGGATGCTGTAATGATAAATGGAGTACTTTTTCTTGATTTATGCAAGGCATTTGACACGGTTGATTATAAAATTCTTATTAAAAACTATTAATTTACTGATGTTCAAAACAAAGCCCTTGGCTGGTTCAAAACGTATTTATCAATGCAACATCGTCTCTTTGGAAGGTTACCTGGGAATGACAATTCAGGTAAAGCATGCCGTGGTCCAACAATGGGTGAGTTTGATTCTGCATTGCATTGCGTCGCTAGATTAAAAGGCCTAAAAATTGCTAGTATAAATGTCAATAGCTTATTGAAACACATTGAGGAAATTAGGCATCTGTTATTTAAATTTCCCTTCGATATTTTTGCTATTAATGAATCCAAAATAGATGATTCTGTAATGGATGGGGAAATAAGTATCCCTGGTTTTAACTTGATAAGAAAGGACCGTAATAGGGCAGGAGGCGGTGTGGTGTTGTATATCAGAGACAACCTATCCTATTTGGATAGGAATGACTTGGTGCCCGATCGTCTTGAGATGCTGTGTGCTGAAATTACTCGCCCCTTTAGCAAGTCGCTTTTTGTCTGCACATGGTATAGGCCTCCGAAGTCAAACTTGAGCTTATTTAATGATTGTGATGTATTTTTTCAAAAATGCGAGTCTGAAAATAAGGAATTGATTATAATTGGTGATATTAACTGCGATGTTATGAAAACCTCACCAGATGCCCATACACGACAATTAAACTTTTTGTGTTCTCTTTATCAACTTGACCAATTAATTAATAAACCTACAAGAGAGACCAACACCTCGGCGACCTTGATTGATTTGGTCTTAACTAATGCTAAAGAAAACATTTCGACGTCTGGTGTAATAAATCTGGGGATGTCTGACCATAGTTTGATTTATGTGGTCAGGAAGTTCACCCTTCCAAAACTCAAACCTAATGTGAAAGAAGTTAGGGATTATAAACATTTTAATGCTGAATATTTTATTGGGGATTTAGCCAGAATGCCTTGGCATGTAATTAATCAATATAATAATCCCAACGAATGCTGGAGGGTATGGAAATCTTTCTTTAATGAGATATTAAATATACATGCGCCGATTCGACATAAGCGAGTAAAGGGGAACTCGGTCCCATGGATTACTCCGGAAATTAAATGTATGATGAGAAACAGAGACTATCATAAAAAATATGCAATAAAACATTCCTCACAGCCACATTGGGAAAGTTTTCAATTTCTGCGGAATAAAGTGAATGTTGAAATGCGAAATGTAAAATCAAAATATTTTCATGATAAAATCACTGATTGCTCTGTAATGAATGACCCTAAAAAGACTTGGAAATTAATTAATTCATTATTGGGAAAGAATAACAAATCCAACAATGTGAATGAGCTGCTGGTTGACAGCACGTTAGTTTCGGATCCTAAATCTATTGCAGATGCATTTAATGACTATTTCATTAGTATTGGGTCGAAGCTAGCAGCAGAATATGTAGACGAGTCCTGTAGTAATGTTGATAATCAGCCCATAAACTATAATATTAATCAATCCTCAGATACTTTTTTTAAAGTATCTCCAATATCCGTTGATAGTGTTGCCTCGACCCTAAGAGGCCTAAAAGCATGTAAAGCAACAGGTCTTGATAAAATTCCTGCTAAAATTCTAAAATTATCTGCAAACATAATTGCACCCTCGTTGACATTCATCTTCAATCTGTCGCTTGCAACGGGCGTATATATAGATGAATGGAAGCGTGCTCGTGTTACGCCAATATTTAAATCCGGGGATAAAAGACAATGTGAGAACTATCGGCCTATTTCAATTTTACCGGTGGTGAGTAAAGCCTTTGAGAAGGAAGTTTTCCGTCAAGTATATAGATACTTGTCTGAAAGCTCTCTTCTGTCAAAGTTTCAATCTGGATTTCGTCCAAAGCATTCAACTGTAACTGCCCTCATCCAAATGTGTGATGAGTGGCTAGAAAATATGGACAATGGAAAGTTAAATGGGGTTGTGTTCATAGATATCAAAAAGGCATTTGACTCTATAAACCATCGCATTTTGTTAAATAAAATGAATGAGCAATTTGGAATTTTTGGCGTAGAATTAAAATGGTTTGAGTCATATTTAACAAATAGAGAACAGCAATGTAATGTTAATGGAGAATTATCTAGCAATAAAATTATCACCTGTGGAGTGCCCCAGGGATCTATACTGGGACCACTGCTGTTCCTATTATATATTAATGATTTGCCCGATTGTTTGAAATCAACTAATCCATGCATGTACGCGGATGATACTCAAATCTTTTCATCTTCCTACGATGCAAACGAACTTGTTGTAAATTTAAATTCAGATCTTGCCCATGTCTGTAACTGGCTTAAAGAAAATAGGCTGCAGATGCATCCATCAAAATGTAAAATGATGTTTATTGGCTCCCCGTATAATCTTAATAATATAATGTGTGAGGAACCCGTTGTGGCTAATGCAAAACCCATATCACGAATTGCTACACAAATGTGCCTAGGAGTAAAACTAGATGAAACCCTTAATTGGGATAGTCACATTGAAATGATATGCAAGAAGGCGAGCGCTGCTATTGGCGCGATGAAACGTATAAAGCCCTTTGTTCCAATGCATACCTTAGAATCGATTTATAAAAGTCTTGTGCAGCCCTACTTTGATTATTGTTCCCCCCTTTGGGACACTTGTGGTAAGTTGCTAAGAGACAAGTTGCAAAGATTTCAGTCTCGTGCAGCAAGAGTCCTAACGGGTGCTAATTATGATACTCGCTCAGCTGATCTTCTCAACATGCTTTCTTGGGATACACTTGAAAATAGGCGGTCTGGTGCCAAGTCAGTATTAATGTATAAAATACTTAACGACCACACTGCGCCAGGTCTCCGGGGGTCATTCGTGAGAAGAGAAATAGATCAAACTAATTATCATCTTCGAAACACAGCAACTGATCTAACAATTCCTAAACCGAAACGAGAATTTCTTAAAAAAAGTTTTAAATATAGCGGCGCTATGCTCTGGAATCAACTCCCAAACGAAGCAAAATTGGCCGAGTCGCCTCATTCGTTTAAATCAATTGTTGGACAGCGACATGCTTCCTAATTATTTGTATATAGTAACGTGTACAGTATGTGTGTATTAATATTTAGTTTAAATTTTCCTTTTAATGATTTTTATGATCTAAACACGCCCCCCATGGAAACCAGCCTAGAGTTGATGGGGCTAGCGTGTTCTTCTTTCTGTTAATTTTAAATAAAGTATTACCTACCTACCTACCTTCCACAGGGATCCAACGTTGGCCATCTCTTGTTTTTTGTTGTATTTTAACGATCTTCTGAAATCCGAACTGTGCGAAGCCTTCACATGCAGCAATTAATGTATGCAGATTACAAAACTCGTGGTTTATCAAAAATTTGGATAACATTTATAAATGGCTTCTTTCAAATAAATTAACAACCGAGTACATGTTCATTGGAACCCGCTTTAGTTCAGCCCACATTTTGATTATTGTTCTATGGTGTGGGGCAACTGTGGCGAATCCTTGAAAGAAAAGCTACAGAAACCACTTCAAAACCTAGCTCCAAGAGTCATTATAGAGGTGATTCGTATGAAATACGCTCTTCAGATATTTTGGACAAATTAAATGGAAAAACGCTTGTGGAATGAAGAAAAGAGCAGCAACTAAAATATGTATCGAAAGATCTTGCATACAAATGTCCGCAGAACATTTCAAATTCTGAACGATATTAGTTAAGAAATAATAATAACACACTAATGTTGACGAAGCTCAAAACCAATTCAATGAAAAGGACTTTCGGATATGCTGCTGGCAAAGTATAGGATCAAAGTAAAAATAAGTATTTTATCTCATTTGATGTGTGAGGGGAAATAACGCTATGTTTGGTTGTGTGGAAGTTGCGCGTTGATAGTTTGAAAACAATAAACAACGTAAGCGTAAACAACCGCCCACATATGAAGTGACCGAACGAACCCGACCATAAATATGCGAACCTGGCAAATAATCTTCCCCGGATGACCGCTGCTGAGGCCGCCAGCATTGGGCTAGTATTCCAAAGGTCGTAAGTTAGATTCCCACCTTGGCATATTTTTCAAGCTTGCCCGGTGTGGATATACTGTACACTCAGAGTAACATCACAAACATCATCTTCACCTGAGTACATAACACCAACACAGAAAAATCAACATCAATAGTCTTTCTCAAGACTACACTAACCAGGGCATGAAGAATATCAACTGACGTCAAAATCTGAAAATGTTATATATTCTACCAAATGATTTGTAATTTTTGGTGTTTGTCATAAAGTAGTTTACCAAAAAAACCTCAAACATTACTACCATAGTCAAATAAGGCGACACAAAAGCTTTACACATCAATAATAATGTACAATTGTACATTGAGGCACAATGTTACGAATCCGCTTTAATTAAGGCCACTGGACTTGCGTTTACGTTCTTAATTAACAAATAATATCAATATAATATAATAATATCAAGTATATATATATATATATATATATATATATATATATATATATATATATATATACTTGTCAATTTATGTTCTCAAGCCGGTGTGGCTTCAAAAGTTGACTGCTGGAATGCGCAATCCAGTTACTGCTTGTGCAGGAAACTGAACTTTACGATACTCAAGATGCAATCCACGACATTTAAAAGAGATGGCGGCATGTCAATTTTACCGTGATCCCTTTGCACGCAGAAAATTGTATGTTTCTAAAAAAATACCAGAAGACAGAGCATTGAACGGACGCCAACATTCGTACGAAGGACTATCTATTACTCACTAAATTCATGGGGATACGTCAAACATCTCTTACTGACACTGTCATTATAACCAATTTAAGTTTGCAAAGGAGCATGGCAAAAATAACATGCCGTCATCGTTTTATTCTGTGTTCGATTTCACAACTCAGGAAAAATATCCAATCTTATTTGTCCACAGGTGATACCAATGGCATTTTTCTTCATTATCGCTTTTGGAATGGCATTTTACGTAATAAGATCCGAAGATGAAGGCTTTACTACGATCCACAATTCACTTTTAACGACTTTTGTAATGATGAATGGTGAGCTGGATTACCGTGACACTTTTTTGCTGAATGGACCTAATGAATTTTATACTCATATACAGAGAATATTTCTCGTTGTTTTTCTCATTGTCGTTACGATCGCAATAATGAATCTATTGACTGGTTTGGCTGTTGGCGACACAAGTGCGATGCTAAAACGATCAAAAGTGGAAAAACTACGGTATAAGGTATGATCGTAATGCAACTAAGATTTTACACTGCATGGTGTCCCTTTAATTTAACCCTGGATTCAGAGATCTTCTGGTGTCACGCATTATGGCCTAATTCCACGACGAGTGAAATGCGAAAAATTTCGCGCGAAAAGGTTGAACGCATGCGCAACATGATTTTGGAGTGTTTCCCTGCGAAATGTTTCTCTTCGCCGGGTAGTTGAATTCGTTTCTACTCCTGCGAAATGGAAATTATTATTATTATTATTATTATTATTATTATTAAACCTTATTTAATGAGGGATTACATTGATTACTTAATAGTATTCTTCCCAATGGCCCTCGATGTCTAATATGAAAATCTTATTGAGAGTATTAACATTGACAATGAGTAATATGCTTACATTCTTGCCTCGTCTGATAATTATGATGAACTGGTGGAACTATTAAATTCTGATTTGAAAAATATTAGTAGATGGCTCTCGGATAACAAACTGCAACACCATACTACTAAAACTAAGCTAATGTTCATAGGCTCCCGGTACAATATCAAAAATAAAATTGGAGATAAATTAGTGACCTTTAAGAATAAACCATGCATTAAAACGGTACAGATCTTTTAAATGTTTAGGAGTTGAGTTGGATGAACACCTTAGTTGGGAAGTTCACATTAATGCAATCTGTAAAAAGGTTGGTGCATGGATAGGAGTTTTAAAACGAACAAAACCATTCGTCCCCAATGAAACCCTGCACATCATCTATAAGGCATTAATTCTGCCATACTTTGATTATTGCTCCCCTTTGTGGGATAATTGCGGAATTGTACTAAAAGAAAAACTACAGAGATTCCAAAATAGAGCTGCAAGGGTGTTGACGGGAGTAAGTTATGATACCAACTCCTCTGAGCTCCTTGAACGGCTTAACTGGAAAAATCTTGAAAACAGATTTAGATTTAATAAAGTGGTTCTGGTATACAACATTCTTAATAATGGTACTGCCCCCTGTCTTCGAGAATTCTTTTCTGCACGAAGCAATAATGATAATGACTATCATCTCAGAAATTATGATACAGATCTCTCACTTCCAAAACCTAAGAAAGAATTTCTTAAAAGAAGCTTTAGGTATAGTGGAGCTGTACTGTGGAATAGTCTTTCTGCTGAGGCTAAGTCTGCTCATTCGATTTATTGTTTCAAAAGACTTATTTGAATCTTGTTTTTAATTGTTATTCCATTTGTAACTACACATTATGTTCTGGGTAATATTCTTTTTGGGTCTGTGGGTTAATTAGTTTTTTCTTCATTTTTATATACTTGTAAATAGCTAAATAGACGCCCCTCATGAAAACCAGCCGTATAGCTGATGAGGATAGCGTCTCTAAAGAAATTAAATACATACATACATACATTCAATACAGCGGAACTTTTTAACGTGATCCACTTCATAATTCAATTGAAGAAAGTAGGTTTGAACTTCTTTTTATAGGAATTAATTGAGTGGTTTTCAATATCTTTTAATTCGAAATAGCGGCGAAGCAAGTCAAATGCTTTTCTTTTGCATGACATCATTCTAAAAGCCATTTTTGTTTTGATGTCATTCAAAAATCGGGTGTTTTTTCCTCTACTGTGGAAATTACTGACGAGAGAAAATTTTGGCACAAGTGTGTTTTTGCGCAAAATGTTTCGCATTTCGCTCGTCGTGGATTTAGGCCTGTACAGCTTCGGCGAAACAGGAAACCACCTGATCCAGGGTAAAAGTTGCTGTAAGAATCCCTATGGCCCGTTTACACTAAGCGCTTTTTGCTGCGATTTTCGTCTCCTGATGTATGTGAAAGAGTAGATGAGTTATGAATGTTCACATGAGGCCTCGTACATGTACTCAGAACATTCATAACTTATTTACTCGTTCACATGCATCAGAAGAAGAAAATTGCACAGAAATCGCAGCGAAAATTGCAAATGTAAACGGGCCTTTAGAATCGGACATTGTTACGTCAGATTGCTATATAGCTGAAATTTTGCAGGGTGCAAAGCGGGCTCTCATTGGTTGCATCCCCACTCACGTAGCCCCGATAAATCGCGATTTATCCCGAGCAGGCAGAACTTCAGGAATTGTGGTAGCATCTGAAAGCGGAACCTTCTTAGCCCAGGAAGATTCCTTTGGCTTTTTACTGGTTTTCGTATTGTTCAGTTGGACAGTTGAAGTGAATTTCGCAGCGGCGTAAATATGGGCTTCCGGCAACGTGGAGTGAATGCCCCCAAAGCTACGGAGCGCCTAGCCACAGAATAAAGACATACAGAAGGTCGACTCGAGTAACCGCTATTAAGGCTGTCCACAAGATGCTCGGCAACTTTCGAGCAACTTTTCCGACTTTTTTCTGTGGGGCAACTTCTTTTTTTTTAAGACAATAATAATACAGAATAACAACATTGCATAGTTGAGGTATTACAATTCATGACGTGGAAATGATAGTTTAGCAAGGAGGCACATTGTTCCAAAGCTCTGGCCGGGAAATGGAATCATAGTGCGGTGAAAATCTTTGGCATAATAAAGCAATCATCCAGGGAAAGGGAAAATGATGTTTCTCCCATGTGTCGAATGAAGCTGTTGGAGTTGTTTGATGACCCTCATGCCAGTGCTCGTGACTTAGAACTTGAACTTGCTACAATGACTACAATGGTTGATGATGGTAAGCACTTTGTTTTAGCAACATATTACCTTGAAGGGGATGCCCTAGCGTTTGTCAGCTTTAGCCATTATGGCATGCATTACCCTCGGTTTCAGATTCTTCCAGCACAATCAGTGTGGAATTTCATGACACGGTCCGTGCATTCAAAACTGCTCGATTGTGCTGCCCAGTGAAAGTGCAAGAACTACATCCAAATGCATCCTCTGTCCAGGAACTGAAGCAATTCGGATTTTTTACTTGATGCTGCGATTGCAGAACTTGTTGAAGAGCTTCCAAATTATTTGGCCATCGCAGATGGTGTAGCAATTGAAACAGAAGAGGGGAAAGTGAAGTGGTGGTCTGATCATGAGATGACTTTTCCTAGTTGGTCAACATCAGTTAAGAAGATCTTGTTAGTACAACCTAGTTCTGCTTCAGCTGAGAGAGTGTTCAGTTTGCTTCACAATGCATTTAACAGACAGCAAGATGCAGCGTTGGAAGAAACTGTCAAGATCTCAGTCATGCTAAGATACAACAAGCTAGCAAGATGGCTGAAACATACACAGTAATAAGAATCACAGAGCACAAAATGTATTTTTAGGTATGACTGATTGTTGTGTTACTCGTTCTAGCAAGTTGAAAGTTCAGGAGTTAGAAACAGTGAACAATTGTCCTTTGGTTAGGTAATTAGCCACTTCTTGTAGTTAATAAATGAAAACCAAGATTAAAATTATTGAACAACTTCTGAGCATTAACTTTTAGATTTTTTGAGCAACTTTTTGAGCACTTTCTGGGAAATTTTGAGCAACTTTTTTAAAAAATTTGGAGCATCTTGTGGACAGCCTTAGCTACCACGCCATGATTCATCATCAAAATGCTGACGCCATGGGCATAGCCAGTGCGCTTATGAGAGGCATTACCCTCCTGGACGTCCACAATTTTCAATATTTTCAGGGGGGTGAATGCCTCTCAAACGCGTACTGGCTAGGCCCATGGCGTCAGCATTTTGATGACGAATTACGGTTATGCCAAAATCATTGAAAGATCATATGGAAAACCAAGAAGTCTGGCTTCTGTATAGTCTATTCTGTGGCCTAGCCTTCCCCTGTGAGATCCAGGGGGCAACACGTCGGTGGTGCACAGGGGGTTCCCCGTGAAACGCTGAAAATATAAGCACTTTGATAGTAATTTAGAGGCGAATACAGAAATCAAGACGAATGATTTCAAAGAGTCTTGGGTGGTAAAAAATCTCTGGGTTCTGGACGTCTACTAGGCATTTTAGCTCTTATAGGTTTTAGAGATGAATATAGAATATTTAAGGTTTCTGGTATTTTCTTCCGGGATCATTCAAAACAACAGTACAAAGAAAGGACCTATAGCCATATTCCCTAATGAACAAAATTTTGATCTAGACAAATCTAGACAAAAATTTTATCACAGTTTGAAGGAAAATCACAAAATTAGTAATATACCGAAGTTTCGTTGCGAAATGTTGTAAAATGCGGATAATATAGCCCTGCGAAGTTTTCCGTTTTTCAGTCGCTTTGTATTACTCACGGGAAATTGGTACCTTTTTTCAGAAAGGTCCATTAACTAGAGCCAAAAAATAATGTAATTGCGCTCTATACACTGTAAAGAGCACACAACTTTTGACTTTAATTGACCGCCAGCTACTTTGTTTAGTAAAAATGTTTAGATTATTTCACAACTGGTATACAATTAAGATCATCGTGGTGTCCCTACCGTCTCCTCTTTTGCTCATGTTTGTTTACGGGATCTCTTATATTTATAACTGTAAACCAGACTAGGCGAAGCATAATAAATAAATAAGTAAATAAATACACATTTGTCGTCACAATTCCTGATGTGATCGGGGACAGGAATTCTCCAATTCTTACGTTTCGTCCGACAAGGCTAATCATGAATATTTTTTATTTTAATTTTTAGGCTAATCTTGTGATTACTTTAGAACGAAGTCTTCATAGTTTTCCTTTGGCATCTCCTCCAATTGTTTATGAGCTAGGAGAGAAGTGGGATCCAACGAGACTGTCGTTGCTGCCGAGGCTGTGGAAAACGATGACCAACGAGGATAACGAAGCCGACGAAGAAGACGTGGTTAACTTAAAGCAAATTGAGGATCGATTGAAAACAATATCGGAGACCAGTGAAGCCCGGGAGAAAGAACTTGGAGAAGAAATCATAAATTTGAAAAACCAACTTGTCTGTGAAGTCAGTGTAGCTAGAGGAAAGACAGTGGAAGAGCAATTAAAAAATCTTTCAGAAATCAGTGAAGCCAAAGTGAAGAGTCTCGAAGAGCGACTGAAATCATTTTCTGAAACCTATGAAGTCAGGGAAAGGAATACTCAGGAACAACTGAAACATCTTTTAGAAGTCAGTGAAGCCAGAGGAAAGAAACTTGAAGAGCAGTTAAACAAGATACAAACTATATTAGAAATTATGGAAAGTAATGTAGCGCCGGCGTTCAATCAAAGTTAGGCAGGATTCCATACAAAACTTGATCGTGAAAGCACTTGAAATTATGATATAATTCGTTGAATTTACAAAAAAGTGCTTGAAAGTCTTTGAATCTTTCTTACTTCACTTTTTGTGACGTTTTCTGAAATTGTCGGCACATTTTTTAGCACAGTTTTTCACGCTCAGTTGGCAGAGCATTGGGCTAGTATTCCAAAGGTCGTAGGCTTGATTTCCACGTACCGTGGTCACGCATATTTTTCAAGCTTGCCCGGTGTGGATATTCAGCCATATTTTGTCGCCTTGTTTGCTTTTTATCGCCGAATCTCGCAAATCTAATCCAGTTGTTATACTTTTACATAATCAAAAAATGGCTAAAGAAGATTTCAACCAAGTTTCATCAAGTTTTGAAACAGTGCAGTGTATTTTATCTTCGATATTGTGTCCTTCGATATTTCGTGAAATATGGCGCTATATTGCAATCGCTCTCCGCGTCTATGCCCGATAAATGCTACTTCTTCGTCGTCCTATGTATTCAGATTACAGTATATCCAAGAGTACTTCATTGTAGAATAGTCCCAATTGAACTGGAAAACTCTTGCTTCAATGCGAGACATACACAAATTAACTATGATATAAAAAAAACACACTGAACTGGAAAACTCTTAATGCTGAAATGCGAGACATACACAAATTAACTATGATGTATAAGACATTAAATAATTTGGCACCAAATTATTTGAGAGACCATTTTGAAATGTCTGCCATAGATAATTTTTATAGATTAAGAAATAGAAAACTATGCTTTGTACTACCAAAGCCTCAAACTGAACATTTAAAGAAAAGCTTTGCATTTTCAGGGGTAAAATTGTGGAATACTTTACCTGAAGATGTAAAATTCAGCAACAGTCTGAGTCAGTTTAAAAAAGGAGCATTAATCACATCATCAGCTTCTAGCTAAAATTGTATATATATTCGGCTTTCTTGTAAAGCAGT